TTTTTTTACTTGGTTCAAGAACTAATCTCATGTCAAATTTTACGATCTCAAAATCACAGCAAACGTTATGATTCCACACTAATAAACAAAAGCACCACTTCGCCAAACCGACAATCCGTAAGACGTTACCATGTTATTACGTTATTGGTTTGACATTAAATAAACTTAATTCTCTTGGTTTAGTTGGTTTAGCTCTCGGTTCAATAATCAATAAAAGCAAAGGCTTTAGAAACGGCATTAATTTCGTCCAAAACAGAAAAGCTTTAAGAAAACAAAGTTTGCTTTTTCTCTGTTTTTTTTCTCATATCACTTATTGAAACATTTTTTTCCTGATATCCAAATTCTTGGCCATTCTTTGACGAAAATGTCTGCAATTTATCGCTTTTGGATGTTGAAAGTGTTGATTTTGGAGATCTTTAGTTTTGGAAGTCTGCTCCCAGATCCGTACGATTTTATCGCCACTACAAAAAGCAAGAACACCGTCGGCGGCGGGAATCCAGGCGATGCTCTAAACACAATCATAAATTCAAGCTTCTGAACTTTCACCAACTCCAGTTTCTTATCCATCAATTTCAGCTCCAGACTCCAAATTCAGGAACTCACTGGATCAATTTCAGCAGAGAAGCCTATAGATTCGACGAAAATATATAAAAAATTGCTATATTAACATTGAAGGGCAGAATTAAGAGTGTCTTACTCAAATCAATGTTTCCAAAAATCAGATGGTGAATGGGTTGTCTGTCACTTTGTCCTTGAATCTGTAGATTCGGCGATGATAAATTGATTCATCTTCACCATTCGCCATAGTGAGAAAGTATATATCTCTCTCTTCCTCGTTTGAGAAATCTCTCCTTTCGAATTTTGAATTGGCTGATATAAGATTGAGACTTCAAAATTGTTAATTCGGAAACAACAATGGCCTAACAGTTTCCATTGACAATGAAACATTCTTAAATCCAAAAACCACAACAACAGAGATTAAATAAGACAAAACTTTTTGTACAACTTCAATCTGAAATCTATATCCAATTCAAACCCTTGAGAAATGTGGAGACTTACGAAGATGTGGAAGTTGGGAGTGAAGATGAGGACATTAGTGACACAGTTCTTAAGTGTTTTACAAGTCGAAGCCAACGAGCAGAGCGACGCAACGTCGAGTAGATACAATTAGAGCTTTGCATAAGATGTTGGGCTATTACTTTGGTTGGACCTAGACCTATGTTTATATACTCAAATTGAATACTAACTTTCCCCGTAATTTGGAGATCCAGTCTTCAGATTTGAACATAAAAAGCTAATTAAGCTTTGCATAAGATGTTGGGCTATTACTTTGGTTGGGCCTAAGCCTATGTTTATTTTTATATATGTTGAGAAAGAGTGACGTAGAAAAATTGAAAGTTATTACTGGCTGAGAAATCTGAGCTGTATTAATCGAAATGTTTTCATTGGCCGACGATTTTAACAATGTATCACGTTGAAAACTGCCCAAAAAGCTGAGGTGTCAAGCCTCGAGAGACTCTTATTGTTTTTTGGGAAAATTGGAAATAAAGGATAATATTTAAGTATTTATCCATATATGAATTCTATGAACAAATATCAACTATTCCTAAACTACCCCTTGCATAAGATTGAACCAATTGTTTCAAAAATAATTAAGAAAAATATGTATTAAAATGATAAAGAAGACATGAAGATATATAAAATGTCAAAAATATATTGTTTTGTTTTCGTTTTAGATGGATATAATTTGATCTATAAAGTTTAGAATATGTCTTCTAAAATTAAGATATATATTCTATACACTCTACATGTTCTACAAAATTTAGATTATGTATTCTACACACTCTACATGTTCTACAAAATTTAGAAGTCATTTATGTTCTACGGTATTTAGAATACTAGTTTCTACGACTTTTAGAATACATATTCTATACTTTGTTCTTTGTTCTACAAAAATTAGAATATGTTTTCTAACATTTACTCATGTTCTAAGAATGTTAGAAAACATATTCTTAAGATTTTTTTTATTCTATAAAAATTAGAAAGTACATTCTATCTAATTTAGATTTTTTTTAAAAAAATCTTAAAATATGGAAATTGAATATAGTGAATTTGATTACATCTGTAAATTACAGAAGTTGAATTCGGAATACTTTAAAATTCTTTATACCTAAGTGAATAAATTATAACACAAATTAGAATTTTTCTTTATACTTCACACTTTTTTCTATAGATTACGCTTATTTTTTTGTCTCAAAACCCGGAAAATTAGTTGAATTTTGAATACTTTATAATTCTTTATACCTAAGTGAATAAATTATAACACAAATTAGAATTTTTCTTTATACTTAACACTTTTTCCCATAGATTACGCTTAATTTCTTGTTTCAAAACCCGGAAAATTATAGTTGCACTCCATAAAGAAATTGAAATCAAAGGAGAGAGATAGAGAGAGAGATTGAAGAAGAAGAAGAAATTTTTATTTATTTAATATGGCGTTATTAGAGAGGAGAGAACAATTACGAAAGCTAAACTTTGATGAGCAAGAGAATCAAAGAAGAAGAAGATATGAAATTATCTACGACGAAATAAATAATGGAATGTAAATAAGTGTTGATTTTGTCCTATATTTTTTCCAAATTGTTTTTAGAAAGAAATCAATTTAATTTTGAATTTTTTTAATAGTTTAGTAAGATTTTAAAAGACTGGGGGCATATTAGGATTTTAATTATATGAAATCATATATGACCAATATTAAAGTATATATGACCAATCATGAATATAGAATGCATAGATGGACAATAGTTTAATTATTTGTCCTTTATTTCCAATTTTCCCTTGTTTTTATTGTATTGATATGTTGGTTTATGGTCAGTTGGGCCCATGATTTGGCAACATATCGAACCGGTTTAGTTAACGGGTTCTTCCCAATTAAAAAAATTATATAGTTAAAAAAATAATATAATAATTATGGATGTCTTTAAAATTTGAGACACCACCTCAAAATGTCTTCTCAAAATGTCTTTGGGAAGACATTTTAGGAAGGGTGTCTCAGATTTTAAAGACGCTAATTAATTATAATATTAAGTTTCTAAACTATATATTTCTTTTATTTGGGGAAGACACCCATAAAAATTTGTGTGATGGAGATGGTCGAAGTCATTCATCTCTCTATGATATTAGTGTCTCTTTATGGCTCATGTTCCTTTGTCTATTAAAAGATGATTACACAGAGACATGATTAGTAAATTTGTAACCATTGTCACAAACAAATGATTCTAGAGATAATGAAAACGTTTTAGAGAGAAAAGGCTTTGAGAGATCAACCGGAAGGATATTTGAATAGTGGTTTGTGCTTGATTTCTGTTTGTGATATTTTTGTGTCGATTCACAATCGATTATGTGCCAAATTTGTCACTAAACTGACTATGTTTCGATTTAACACTTCCGCATAAAAGAATAACAATATCCTTACAAATTCGTTGGAAATTAGAAATGATAAGTTCCGTAGCTCTTCGTTTAAGTTACGTGACCAGGAAAGAATAACTGAATTGTTATCCTACTCATGTTAGTTGGCCCAATAATTGTAAGTGGACCAAGTTTATAGAGGCCCAACAATTATTACTCCGAATTAATATTGTTTTTTTTTTCGTTGTCAAAGGAATAAATAAATAATTGTCTTAATCTTGGACCTATTAACTGAAATCAAGTGATTTATTCGGTGTTTTTTTGTTTTTTTGGTTGTCAAAGTGTTTCTTTAGTTCTTTCTGTTTTAAATAATTTTTAAAGTGACGAATTTTTTTTTCTTGATAGTCTGTCACCAGTTTACTCAAGTTTTGTTATGCTACAGCCTACATGGTAGCTTAATTTAGTTGAAAATACACAAAAAGAGAGTGGTAAGATTGATATAAGATATATAGTAGAAATTTTTCATTGAATTCTTTTCTTTCAACTAATTCTTCTTTAATTGTTTGATACCAGTACGGTAATAAGCTATCCAGATTGGCTAGAAAATGTGGTAATCCAATATTCTTCCAATTCTTGGATTTTCTGGCTTTATCGATTTTTTTTGTAAATAGGCTTTTAGTTTAATATTGTTTTCAGTTAACGAAAAACATTAGCTCACATTCAGCTCGGGTTTTGTTTTTTATTTGGTACGGTTTGAGTTGGGGTATGCTAAATTGAATTTCGCTAGCTACTCTAGATTACCAGATAGTGAAGAACGTATCCATATGGCTACTAACATTATGAGGGATGCAAATCATGCAAGGACTAACAAACAAACCGAGGGTCCAAATATGATTTTTTAGAGTGAAATATACATTGAACAGTACACCCGACTCGTTGGACAGTAAAAATTAAGATGAAATCCAACTAGGACTCCCATGATTAGACTGAGTAAAAATGAAAACTTTAAAGGACAAAAAAACGTTAGGGTTTCTTGAACAAGGATTTTATAATTTAAGTAACATGAACTAAAAATGTTGTTTGAGACAAAAACACTTGCAAGATTTCCTTAATCTTATTCGTAGTCGTAAGAGAGAGGAACGAATAACGATAGACAAGATGGGAGTTGGGAGACACTAAGTATTAACTATAAAGTGAGTTCCTTCTGACATATAAGTGAATTCAATTGCATTTTCAGAAACTTCTGCCCCAAAAAGTCCAATAGTCTATACACAATATACAAATTCAAAAAATAATTGATATATCAGTCTCCTCCTGATTATTTATATATATAATCTTGTTACTATGGAGTATATACACACATATAGATAGATATTGTATGTAGATATATATTGGCTTCACATGGTCTCATATGATCAGAACAAACATCAACCATGCAATATATATTATACAAGCGATCTATATGAAGTTTGTGAGAGAAATTAAAGGAACAAATGGGACAATCAATTTCAACTTCTTTCGCTCCAACGTTGGATTTCTAAGTTATGTCGTTTATTTAGCCAACCTTGGTCTCGGTAAGGGTTTCCATATGATATCCTTAAATCACTTTAAACAAGTACCGTAGTATCAAACAAAGATGTGTTAAAAGGCAAAGAATATCGAGTAATTAATCAAACTTAATTAGGAAATGTCCTTATATATTAATCATTACAATACACAAAAAGATAGATACATATCATATCTTGTTCTTCAACTTCAATGATCAAAGTTACCTGTTATGAAGTGGATTTGGACCAGTGGGAATAACCCTTTTTGAGTCTAAAGCAGAAGAGTTAGCGATGGTTCCCATAGTGTCATACTTTAAAACTCGTGCTTCGTCTTCTTCATATGATCCATTCTTCATCAGCAAACTCCGCATTGAAGCTGATTCCGAGTGATGTATGAAGGCAAGAATTAGGAGAGAAGAAGCCAATATCATCAAACCCTTCATGATCATTTGTCTATTTTTGGTCAAATATTGTTTTTGTTTGTTTGATGGGGATATAATATGGAGGAAAGCAAAAGTTGGATTGTTATAAATAGCGACGTTAGATAAAAGGGCAAAAAGAATTAGAGTGGATATATTTATATACAAGCTATACGGTGCATATAAAATAAATAAATGAACCATTTGACTAAATGAAATAATATTTTAGCTTAAAAAATAATTAGGTAATTATGTAGAAATCATGCATGTTCCTCTTTTTCTCGTTTGGAAAGGTAAAAAAGGGTTCTTCATTATGTCTTTGATTTGAAGATTCATAAGCCTCAGCCTCATTAAGTGAGCCTGTGGACACATTTATGGTAACAGTAAAGCCGACATGTTATAATTGAATACAATAAATAGTTTTTCTTAATGAATAAAACCCAAACATTCTGCTACGCATTGATGAGGTCTAAGAAAATTACATTTACGATTCACTATGGACGACGAATTGCAATAGATTTGTGATCGCTTAGTGGTCCATCTTAATTTTATGATAAATTTATCATCACCAATCTCTGTATAGCTAGGGGCGAATGTTATTTCACATTTCGAAAAAAAATTGTTAAAAGTTTTTTTTTTTTTAACAACATGAGTCATGCAAATCAATATTTATATTTTGCAACTAATCTTTATAACTACATGATCATAATATATCCAAGTCATGTCCATTCCATAAGAACTTGCAATAACGAAAAACTAAATTTACCATGCAATGTGGATATATTCAGGCTCTTCTGAATTCCCAATTAATTTTAACATCTTAATTAGAGTTTTCATATATATACATGGGTTTTATTATGTGAAGAAGAGAGTATCAGAGAAAACTTTGAAACAAAGCACATGAAAAGTGTAATTATTTTGGAAGTGAAGTTTTAAGGTAAGTGAAAAGGTGAAATGTAATGTAACCCATGCTTACTTGCTTCCTCCTACTAGCCACTTTCAATTTCAAACAAACGCATTAACTTTTTTTTTTTTCCCAAAAAGGATGATTTTCCTCATTCTCAACTTCACACCATCCCTCTTTCTCTCAGTTTCTTGACTTTCCAATATATTATTTGTGAAACTTAGCAGTCGATAAATATCACATGTTTATTTTTATGATCAAACAATAAAACTAAAACAAACCACATGAGAGTTTAAATGCGGACACGTTGAAATGTGTTTTTTTTGCTAAGAAATGTTGAGATAAAATTTCAAACTATTTCAACCATGCTAACTATAACTATCTAAACTTTTGAATTTATACGATACAATAGCGTAAGTCTACCAAGTACCAAAAAAAGAAGGAAAAAAAGTCTACCAAGTATCATTGTCAATACCAATCAATATCTTGGGATATTAGCCCTCTATAGTTAGTTCTATGAATGGAATGATACTCACAGTCTCTCACAAAAAATTAGGAACTTGTTTGATGAAGAGAAAACTGCAAAACAAGTAGAGTAATACGAACATAGACGTACACACACACACCATGATCTAAGAAAATCACATTCTGATGTTGATTGCTACTAATATTTACTCTCAATATACAACTGTCTTGCTTTTCTCTGTACACGCTTTCGTGTTTTTTTTTTTCAATAGTATACAATCAATGTTTTTAATTCGTTTATAGTGAATTTATTAAATGCTCTCTTCTGCTTTGGCAAAAAAAATGCTAGTATCTTCTTTGAATGTAACATTGAATGTCAAATATTTCCTGATGGAATCGATATTATATACTCTCTCCGTTTCGTTTTAGTTGTTTTTAAGGTTTTCTCACACAAATTAAGAAAAACATTAAATTTTCTGTTTTACCATCTATTAATATATTTTATAAAAAAATTCATTGGCCGAAACATTAAAACAGTAGGGATAAAACTGGAATTTTCACAAAACATTTGCATCGAAAACCTAAAACGATAACTATTATGAAACAAAATTTTAACTCTAAAACGATTAGTAAAACGAAATGGAAGGAGTATTTTTTTAAGAAATTGAACACATTGGTTAAAAGCTTTAGAGAAGTAACTAGCTAGCTTTCCAACAAAAATGTTATTTGTTATAAAATTTAAAACACAAGCCAATGAAAATTTTCAATAATATTTTTAATCAGCGGTTTGCATATATGCGAAAATCCTTTTTTTCTTACTTCTCTATTGGTTAAAACGGCCTAGGTTTTCACCAATTTAAACAAAGTTGCTTCTCTATTCAAAAGTCCTTTAGCTATTATAATCAAAGTTTTAGGTTTTAGATTCTTGTTTATTAAAATTTAAGTTGCAATTGTTGTAAAAATGTTATTTTTTCTTTGAATCTAATTTAATATTATATTAAAAAAAAGCCTAAGTTTAGATATCTTGTTCACGTACGTCAACATGTAAATGAATTAAATATAGAGTTTTATTCTCATTAATAAGATATATCAAATATTTTCTTGGAATTTTGTACATAATTTTGAAGACAAACAAGTTCTGAAGTTTAATAATAAACAAAAAAGGATTTCTGAAGAATTGGCAAACTAGTGTTGACGGAGGCACATGTAAGCGAGAAGATAAAAGACAAGAGTTAATTCTACGTAGACTAAGGGCTATACTACCAAAAGCTGACAAATACAGTTAGGCATGAGTAAACCATAAACTACTGTTAGATTTTGGGCAAACAATAAATAGTGTGTTGCATTTTGCATGTGTATGTATAATTGATTAGTGCATTTCGTAGCATGTGCAAGTCTGTGCAATTGTAGAAGGTTATAGGTTGTTTTTCTAAGTACTAAGTTTGATGTTACAATGGGTGATCCAATCCCTAAAACACTAATTTGCTGAAAAAAACTGTAGTAAAAGTATATAAAAAAAGACGAAACACGCTTAAAAGAAGTTTTGAGCGTTAACAGAAATCTAATTTCTGATTAAACTTACTAGATTGATCCAAATAATGACTTTAATTACTAGAATGTCTCATAAAATATGGGGGTAATACCCTTGCTCTCTTTGTTAGGAAAAAAAAAGTCAAATTTACCTTTAAATTTTTGGAAAAACGTTGGGAAAAAATTTTAGGAATTTTTTTTGGATTTTTAAAAGTCTGTTGTATTCGTTATGACATGTTTATTTTAAATGGCAGACTTATTTATCAACGACAGATTTTTTATCTCTCACAGACTTAATTTAATAGGTTGTGACAGACTTAATTTAACACCACAGACTTTCATTACTTTGACAGATTTATTAAAATTAGTGGCAGATTTATGATCATAGTGGCCTCAGACTTTTAATTTTCATAAAAATATCTGTCATCAAGTGACAGATTTGTTTTTGGAAAAATAATTACTAGTAAATACTAGAATAACTTAGTAGTGATAACAGATTTTTTTGATGTTATGACAGTTTTTTTTTTTAAAACAAAAAAACTGTCGAGTGATAGCAGATTTGTCACACAAAAAAAAAATTGCTAGATTGACATACAATCGCAAATGAAATATTTATGTGATGACAGATTTATTTACATTACGACAGATTTAGGATTAGTTCAAAGAAAACTGTCACATTACGACAGATTTAGTGATGAAAAAAGAAATTGCTGGAATGACTTCATATAGTGATGACAGATATGTTTTACGCAATGACAGATTTTTATTTTTATTCATATTATGACAGGTTTTTTATACATATTTGATGACAGACTTTTCATGATGGACTACATGACAGACTTTTTAAACACGACAGACTAATCATTTCTTTGTTTTTGTTTGATTTTAGAGTGCTCCCCAGATCGAAAAAAAAAAAGATAAAAAAGAAGTAGAAAAGGTAAAACTCTCCCAGGCGTTATTCCCGAGACTTCACAAGAGCCTCCATTTTCCGGCGCCGGTGTAGCTACGGCTCGCCGGCATCGGACGCTTTCTTCTCTTTGCTGCTCCGCTTCTCCCGAAGAATCCAATCTCGTTTTGTCTTAAGTTTTCCAAGTTTTTCGTCCACCGAGAGATGTTTCAGATCCGACAAAGTTGCCTCTCCGGAAAGTTTCTCGGTGACGCTTCTCTCTTCGGTGATTCAGTTCCTCTCTCGGCTCAGTTCCGAAGTCCTCTCCGTCCTCTCCGTTTCCTTCCACCGTTCACACCTCCGATGCATCTCGTCGATTGCAGATCTAGTAGCTTTTCTTCTTCGAAGAACTCTCGCTCACTGTTTCGACGTGCTTCGCCTCCCTCTGGAAAAACCAGCAGCTACTTCGCTCCCGGCGACTTTCCCCACTTCTCACCATGTCGCGTGGATCGGCTCATCCGGGTGATGCCAGTGATTGTTGTCCCAGCGACCTCCCTTCCCAGAGATCTTTGGCCTCCTTTGGTCTCCAGGATCGATGCCCGTGTAGCCCCTGTCAACCGCCGCCGCCGCCGCATGCCTTCTCCCACGCTTGGATTAGGTCAGTTCTCCAGATTTCGTTTTCGGAGGATGCATTTAATTTGGGTTGGGCCCATCTTTGGGTCTTCAGAATTTTGTGCTGGCCCGTTAAGCTTATTGGGCTTCCAGCTTGCTTTATGCTGCAATCATGCTTTTTTGGCCTGCCCTACTTTTGGTCATAAGACATCTTCGACGCCCACCACCATCCCTGTCTATCTCCTATTTCCCTTTTGTCATCCCTTTGCCATCTCCTATTTCTCCACTCAGCGGTTTACCGGATACTTCTCCGGGTTCCCTTTGCCTAAACCGGATACTTCTCCGATAGGCCCAGTTCGCTTCCGGTCTAGAACCACATTTGTTGGTTCGGATTTCGTCCAAATTCGGCGAAGCTTGCTCACTGGATACTTCTCCGGAGTCTCCCTGCCTGTGTCTTTGGCAGTTCCTGGTTGTTCTCAACTTAGAACCACGTTTGTTGGTTCGAATTTCAACGGCTCTTCAAGTTGGTGCTTTGTCACCCATGTCTTGACAGCCAATTCTAGGATTGTTATGTCTGCCCTAGTTGCAGATTCAATCTCGTGCAGCATAGCACTTTGTGTGTTTCATGTTGTCCAAGGCGTCTTCTCTCTTATTCTCTCTAGTGTTATCAAGGTTCAAGGACTCCACGATGACGTTTATTGCTTAAGTGATAGGATTGCTTTGATCTATCCTTCTTTCTGCTTTTGTCGTCATTGACTAGTTATTGTGGTGCAAGTCTACACTTGAATTCTTTATCTTTTTCATATAATACTTTGGTTAAATTTTGATAGATTATGTTTGTCATGAAACGTTTGAAAGATTATGAATATTCCATATTCTTTAGATGATGAAATAAGTTTACAAAACATGAAGAACACCAAGAACAAAAGAGAGAGTTTAGTAAACATGTATATCACAATGTTTTAAATCCTGGAAATAAAGAACAAAAGACCTATAAGTACGAGATTACATAAATCAAAGTCACTCATTCGATGGACTCGTCCATGAGACTAGGGATCTTGAAACCTACACCACAAAGATCAAGATTAGACGGTTTGGCTGACTCTCTCACTTCATCAAATAGCTCTGCTGCAAGTTTAACACGTATGGCCATCAATCATAGACCATATCTCATGAAAGT